CCGTCAGAGAGACCAGCTCCAAGGAGTCGCTGTCCGTGGACAGCCAGTCCACCACCGCCGACGAGAAGTCCCAGTCGTCCTCGTCTAGCTTCACCGAGATCGACGAGAAGCTCGACCTCGACCGCGAAATTCCCGAAAAGACCTTGGATCGCCCCTACCGCGGCTTCGTCCATCGCATCGCCATCGTCTACCGCCGCCTGTTCACTATTGTTGGGCTCTTCAACATTGGCGCCGTCATCGCTCTCATCTTCGCCGGCTTCACCAGAGACTGGCTCGGTACCCTCACGGCCATCAACCTCCTCGTCGCCGTCTTGGCGCGCCAGGACTTCGTCATCAATGCTATGTACACCATCACCTGCAACGTCCCCAAGTCCTGGCCTCTCAGCATTAGGAAGCGATGCGCAAAGATCTTCCATTTCGGAGGCGTCCACTCGGGCGCGGCTGTCTCTGCGGGTGCTTGGCTGCTCGCGTCAAACATCAGCTCTGAGGTTTGCCAGCTGACTGAGTGCCCCAACTGGGGTCACCAATCCATCGCCTCAAAGGTCATCTCTTGGCTACTCACCGGGTTGTTCACCATTACCATCGCCCTAGCCTGGCCCGGATTCAGAAAGAAGCACCACGACATGTTCGAGAAGACCCACCGCTTCGTCGGATGGACTATGCTCGGCCTCTTCTGGGCGCAAATCGTGCTCGCTGCCAACGACGGCAAGGTCTCATCCATGTCTCTCGGCGAAGCCTGTGTCCGCACCCCCGGCTTCTGGATGCTTGCCTTGGCAACCCTCAGCATCGCGTCATCCTGGTTCTTCCTTCGCAAGGTTCCTGTCGACGCCGAGGTCCTCTCCAACCACGCCGTCAGACTGCACTTTGACTACACCGTCCCTGTCAACGGCAGCTTCGCCCGCCTCTCCATGAGACCACTGCTCGAGTGGCACTCATTCGCAACCATCCCAGCTCCCAGGTCCGTGGGAGGGCGCCCCAAGGGATTCTCGCTGGTCGTGTCCAACGCAGGCGACTGGACCAAGAATGCCATCCAGAAGCCCCCCACGCACATCTGGGTGCGCGGTGTTCCGACCTGTGGAGTCATGCGCATCGCCACCTGCTTCAACCGCATCGTCGTCATCGCTACCGGCTCCGGTATTGGTCCTCTCCTCGGCCATATCCAGGAGCAGAGCTGTGCGACCCAGCTCATCTGGTCCACGCCAAAGCCCGAGCAGACTTTTGGAAAGGAGCTGCTCGACAATATCAAGGAGAAGATCCCCAACGCGGTCATTCACGACACCAAGGTCTCTGGCCGCCCTGACCTGGTCAAGATGGGATACAACCTGGCGAAGAGCTTTGAGGCGGAGGCTGTGATCATTATTGCGAACGAGAAGATCACCAAGAAGGTGGTCTACGGTCTCGAGACCCGAGGAGTTCCTGCCTACGGTGCCATTTGGGACTCTTGAGTGAATTCGGATTGGGGTGGAAGCTATGTATGTAGTGAAAAGCGATAAGAGGAGGGACTGGTTTCATTTCATTTCATTAGTATGGTGTCCGGAGTTTCAGGAGTTTGGTCTTAACCTTTGGTTTCACTAGTTCACATGTCACGGCCTTTGCACCTAGTTCTCGAATTCACAGTCTGTTCTCTTTTGGAAACCTAGCCTTTCTAGACCCTTGCCTACTTCCCGTTTCAACAACACCTGATTTTGAACAATTGAGAAGGCTGCCTGACAAACTTTGCTGAGCCCACTACTATACAACATCAAACAACACTGAACCTCATCACTTGGCTACCTTGGCCTTCCCAAAGTCCAACTTTTCCCAACTCATGAGGCAACCGCTGACCAGGGCAACGATCCCGCAGGCCACAATGAGATACTGATTATTGGCGATCACGTCTGCGACGTCACTGACAGCTGCACCTACAACCCGCGGGTCAGCATCACTCCAGATCTTGGAGTCAAGTCCCGCCAGTGCCTCTCGGATGTCATGGTCGCTGAAACCCAACCCATCGAGCGAGTCTTTCAGCTTGTCGAAACCGATATTCTGGAAGATGCAACCGGCCAGGGCCAATGTCACCGAGACACCCGCGAGCTGGAACATGATGAAGAGCGCAGTAGCATCCAGTCGTCTGTGGGAAGGCACGCTTTGCGCCATGACTGATACTCCCGTCTGCCACATGCAACCAACACCTGCCCCGATGAGACTGCTCACGCCCATCACGCGGCTCTCCGAGGTCGTGGCTGTGATCTGGGCTTGGAGGGCGCCTCCAATGATGGTCAGGGCGCCGCCAACAACGTAGAAAGGCGCATATCTCCCGATGACGGGGATCATGCCCGCCATGACGATGGTGAAGAAGATGAAGGTGAAGATGAATGGTAGAAGCCTGACAGCTGCGTCGACGGGATCGAAGCCCTTGGTAAAGGCGAAGAACAAAGGAGTATAGTAGAGGGCGATCCCGTAGCTGCCTCCGACGGCATATGTGGCGAGGCAGACGAGGATGACGGCTCGGTTCTTGAGGAGATCGGCGGAGATGTTGCGGTGTGTCTTGTCGGTGAGCAAGCAGAACTTCTGCTGCAAGGCATAGGCGAGGTAAATAACGCCGACGAATACCCAAGCGATGATGGCTGAGTGCGATGACCATTCCCATTTGGAGCCGCTGAAGATGAGGGCCGAGCATAATAAGATAAAAGAAGCTACGTGGAGGATTACACCTGTCCAGTCGACAACGCGCAAGCCCTCGATGACGGGCAAGGCGCCGGGTGCGTGCATGTTGGGCAGGGCCAGGAGGTTGCAGACCATGATAATTGCCAGCATGGGGAGGTTGATATACATGGCCTATGTGAACTTATTAGATATTTTGCAGTAGTTCTCCGTGTTAAGAAATACTGACCCATCTCCATGTAGCCTTGTGGTTCTCGGCGAAGGCACCGCCGATGACGGGACCCAGCGTGAGACCGATGGCCCAGGACACAGCTAAGAGACCTTGGGTCCGTGGAAGCTCAGTTGGGGTGGTCAACGTCATGTTGATGATGATACTCCTGTGGGGGAAAGTTTAGTATCTGCTCTCGAGTGAAGTGACGGACTGAAAACGCACAGTTGGTACAGCCCGGCTCCTCCGATACCCTGTATCGCACGGCCGATGATCACTGTGTTGATGTTCGGAGCTGCGCCTGAAACTGTAGAACCGACGAAGAAGATGAGGGAGTATCCGAGAACCTGGTACCTCAGGTTCCCAAGGACGACAATCTTGCGGGCGAGAGGGACGGTTGCGACGTTCATAGCTGTGTAAGCTATGGCAACCCATGACAGGAGATGGACCTGGCCGAATGCCTCGTAGATCGGGGGCTGAATGTTCGCTGTGTTACTGACATCGTAGCCTGCCCGAGGAGCGATCTGTGTCAATTTTGTACGAAGCCTTTTAGCCATGAATGGAGATAATACTGACCAAGAAGCAGCCCAACCAAACAGAATGCGCCCTGAATACACGGCCATCGCCACGCTGGCCAACCTTCTCTGGGATGATTGCCTCCTGAAGTAACGCTTTCCACGTCTTTAGCTTCGGGTGCGACACTGCCAACGTGGGTGCTCGCACGCTCCGTGTCGTCGACAGGGTCTGGCGAAGGCTTCCGTTCCGTCTCCATGATAAAGCAGAATAGACAAGAGGAAGGCTTTGATAGATATGAATACCAAACCCGAGGAAGCAAAACGTGCTTTGAAGGTTGTAGGTTGAAGACGAGCGTGGCACAAGAAATCTTCAAGTTGAGTGTCTACACAAGACAGATATACCAAATCCGCTGCCGTCGAAGACGCGGGAGGCGTCGCATTGTTATCTGTGATGAATGGGGGCGGGCGGTTCGATCCTCACATTTCACCAGCACCAACAGATTGTCGACATGCAGTTTGCTGCCCTCCGCCCCCAGTCGAGCCACAGCCGCACACCCCCATGTTCCTGCGAAGCAACCAACGGCGGACGCACATTGCAACGCTGTGTCTTAAAAATAAAGACATTTAACGGGGCGAACCGAAAAAGCCGACGGCAGCGGCAGAGACCGTTTGTCGCCGCAAACTCGCCCTCAAATGCTACATTGGGGCCGTTGGCCGCGTGAAGCACCAACAGGACGTTGCATGTGGCGCCAACAAACCCATTCAGCACCACGGCCGGACCAACGTACGTGACGACCGCCCCCAGTACGCCCGTAAGGAAGGACGGAACACTGTGACTGCGCCGCAATCTGCGATGATTATCGCGACAAACAGAGCACCAATACGGATGTTGCACGCTGAGAAGTTTGATAAAGCTCGGGGTTATTGATCGAATTCGTCGATATTGCCGGAGTGTGTGTTCCGCGACAGCATCCGGCAGACCGACACGTAGTTCGAGCCAATCTCGACGTGCGGAATCTTCAGCCTGGGCGTTTCACAGACAAATGAGCTTGTTTGTGTCGTTGACTACGTATGATAAGCTTACGCACGGGAAGGGGTTGCAGGTGGCAGACGTCTGGGATGGTAAGCTTACCGAAGGAGGAAGTCTCGTTGCCCAGAGAGAGCGATACAAGTAAGATTGCTGCATCAGTGACCAGGATTCGATTGGGCCTGCAAAGTACAACACAGCAAATCGGGCAAAAACGCCATGCACGGTGATGATTTGGCTTGTTGCCGAGACCATTGAGGCTCAAGCAGCATTCCTACCCGAAGCTGTCAGATGTTCCAGATAATACCTCAGGTGTGGCGCGGATAGCTCCTGACGTGATAATCGCACGTTGTCTGAATATGATCTAAATATTCGGTTATGGTGGAGGACGTGTATCGCCTGCATCCTTCAGAGATCACTTGACACAGAGCTTGTAGTCGAGACCGTTACCTGAGACTCAGATAATCTACAGCGATTGGAACTGATCTTGTGCCATGCTACGTATTGAACCTGGCGTAAACTGTTAACAGGTCTTGCGCTGAATATATGTGTCCAACGACTGTAACATGTCACAGACCGTGAAATGCCGAGAAACAGCAGAAAACCTTCAGTACAAATACATCTCAATGTCCAACTCTGCGACAAAGTCTTCCGCCAACTTTAGTCCACAAACCCCAGGTTGCATTGTAGACCTCTGCCAAACCTCGATGACGATGTCCCATGCCAGTCTGATTTCGTGGTCTCCCCATTTCCTGACCACTTCCGAGAAGAGATCTCGCGAAAGAGACCGAGCAACAGTGTCCTGCTTGGTGGACAGGCACACTATGAAGAGGGGGTACATAAGTGCAGCAGCTAGGTGTGGCACACCAGGGAACGAGTCACCCTTCGAGTCGATGACAGCTTGGCAGGCAGCCAATGCCTTCATCTCAAGAAGCTCGTCGCCAAACCCCGCCGCTGCACTACTCTCCTCATTCTCTGTCGCAGGCCGTAAAGCTCTACAATGGAGTATTGCCGTAGTACGGAACGCTTCCCACAAGTGAATTTGGACCAGTTCACGGCATAGCTCTCCAGGCCAGTTGCGAAGTCTCTGTTCAGCGTCAGGAGAGTCCATATTGCAGATGAGGTCTAGAAGAGAGTACGGCAGGCCACAGGTTTCTTGGACTCCCGTCAAATGCCGCTGAGCGAAGTATGCGGGCCATATCTTCAGCGACTCCGTGCTCCGGTTTAATGTGAAATGTGGAACATCAAGAAGTGCGATGACTTCGATCAGATGACCGACTAGTGGCGGTTGAGCTGTTGTCTCTAGAAGCTTTCGCTGCTGTAACACGGTATGAAGTCCTTTGAGTAAGGTAGTCCACTTGTAGAGCCCATTTATCTGACCATGCAATCGTTAGACTCTGTCATAAGTAGAGGAGAATTCATCGAAACTTACGCTAACACTACATAAGAGGACTCCCGTTGCAAGAATTTCGTCTCGACGAAGGTTGTCTGGGGATTGAAGGTCATTGATGTAACCCGAAATACCAAGCTGCAGATATACTGGCATGAGATGCCTGTATTCGTTTGTCAGGCTCGCCTGATATGCTGCGTAGGTATTGCAGAGCGAAGTCGAAGTCTTTCTCATGGGTAGAATATCTGACTTCATGAGTCCTCCGTCGCCAGATCTTCCGGTCAAAGTCAGATATCCACTTTTGCAGACTATGAAAGTTAGCAGCCCGTCAAAAGTTCCATTGCACGACACTGACATACATTGATCAACCAGAAGCTCTGTTATCTTGTCGTCAACTCCTGTATTGAAACTCTTCCCAGAGTGGCCGCTTTTTTCGTCGGAGTTGGTTGTAGAAGGGCTTTGGCGGCCCTCGCATGATGTAGTATCCGAATCACAACTCCCAGCGGTCGTATGCGCGCTCTCCTCCAACTGCTTTCGTTCCTGTGCGACCTTTCGACTCAAGCTCTGCGGGCGGACTGGCTTGAGGATGATTCCATGTTTGGAAACGATTGTATTTGACGAGCCCCAGGTCAATCGAGTATCATAACCTTCACACTGGAGGTTCGCATGTACGCAACGGTTACAGCTCGGCTTAACCTCGTCGCATTTTTTATGACGCCTCTTACAGGTCCAACACCTAGAGTGCATCAGTCCTTGAAGCTTGAAGGTCATGCCACATTACCTAGTGGCCAGAGACACGGCCGAAAAGGAGGAGATGGTAGCTGTCTCCACTTTCGTGAGGAACAAGAGGCCTTGACGTGCAGAGATAAGACGCTGCTAGGACGAGGAGAACATGGTCTTACCCTCTTCGGGACCTGGAAGCAGGAACAGTGACTTCAGGCGCAGGTCCAGGGTTAAGTGAAGAATTACTAGCCATGGTTGATGCTTTCAAGACGACCTACCCTATACCTTCGGTTGCGAACGTGAGAGTATCAGATTGGGTTATCTTCATTTCTAGGTGTGCTATTTTGCGGGGTGATGATCGGCCTTCGGTCGCTCAAAGTCTTGCGGGGTACCTTGTTGTTCGCGGCATGCGGTACACTCGGGCTCCGGGAGACGAGACTCCACGTTGACCATATTTAAATAGCCCTGGCTCCTCTAAGATTGACGGATTTGATATCGCAAGCGTTTAGACTCTTGATTCTCAGTTTTGTTCTCGATGGCGGCGTTGATGCTGCTCAAGCTTAACTTACACTGTTGTAGCCCTTGTCTTTATCCACTACAGGTGACCTTCACTTCGGGGCCTCTTAGACGGCACCCTCTCCGCCTATACAGCACCTCAAAATCCCAAGCCCCTCAGTGCGTCTCGGTGAGCCTTTGATTTCTTATATAATCAACAGAAAGAAACAGAAGTCCAGCTCCCAAAGGCCATCTAGAAGTGCCCTTCTCAGCGAGAGGGTCTTAGCTAGAAGGAGGCCCCAGGGGTGCCGTTTAGCGGGAGAGGGGTGCCGACTAGGAGGCCAACCCTCGAGCCCCTGAGATCACACAGTCGTTCCATGAAAGACGCTCAGTTTCCATGAAGGGATGCAGAGCATGGTAAAATATGGTCTCCAACATCCCTTAATAGATGGCTATTGTGTCTCTCTCATTGACGCGAAACGCGGCCGCAGGCGCGTCCAGGGCCACCAAAAAGCATTTAAATTAAAGGGCCCACTCAAACTCAGCCACGTCCGAAGTTTGCCTGAGATGGCTGCCGATTACTTCACATCTTCTTTCGACCACATCCGTCATCGTCACATCTGGCGGGCTTAGACTGATCTCGCCTGTCCATGTACGGTGCATCATTGACGTAGATCCGCTAATAATCCAAGGGTATCTAAATTTCGAAACGCTCATGAGATTCGAGCTGCAGACGCTGACAGTAACCACAGCCCCCTAGAAGCCGAGGTCACAACACACACTTTGCGTCCCTGCCATCACGACGTCGAGCGCGCCATCGCCAGAATGGCCATGGCGAAAGCTCCCCAACTTGTGCCGGAAATATGGCTCGAGATATCCCGACATCTCGATAACCGATCCGAGATCGCAGCCCTCGCCCAGGTCAACAAATTCCTTCATAGTATCTTCCAAGCTGAACTTTACCGTCCCGCTGTTGCAGAGAAGGCCCCTGAGATCACCGTTGTCGCCGCCGCCGCTGGCAACTTGGAAACCCTCCAAGTTGCAGCAAAGTTCGGCGCAGACCTCGACAATTTCTATCCGTTAAAGCCCGCACGCTCGGTGAAAGACATAATGTACCCAGCCCCTCCCGGCTGGGGCACGCCTCTTCACCTTGCTGCTTACCATGGCCATTACAATGCTGTGAAATGGCTGATCTCGCAAGAGGTGAGTCTCAATGCCGCTGGCAGGTTTCTCTGTGCCTGTAAGCCTTTGGGGTGCAGCATACCTAGGTCGGAGTTCGACGGGCGCAGCAGAGAGTCCGAATACCCTGCTTGGACGCCTCTTCATCATGCTATTTGCGGTGGACACACTTCAGTCGCCAAACTCCTGCTTTCCGCTGGAGCTAGTGATAAGCTCATCGTACCAGTCGGATCGAAGTTTTACCTAAAGAACTGCGACTGCGACAATGGCGAGGCAGACGAAGATGAATCAGTCATAGATGATTCTAGCGATTATGCGGACCATCCTTTCCTCGGTCAATCTGGGCACCAGATAAAGGATCGTCACCCTTTTGGCTTTTTCATCACAGACATCCACCCAATTCATACCGCAGCGGCATCTGGCAACATACCTCTGGTTTCATACTTGATACGCGAAAAGGACGTGGACGTTGACAGACTAGACGACAATCATGCGACACCGCTATACCACGCAATTGCGGCAAAGCAGGCTTCCTTGGTTTTGTACTTGCTTGATCTTGATTTTGGGGTCGACATAGCCAAACCGCGGCAACTCCGTGTGGACAGAGACTTTTTCGTGTCACACCACAATGCCCTCGACTTTGCCCTCGCTCATGACGTAGGAAGTTGCCGTGTCATTTTAAACCGCGGAGAAGCAACGTGGATCGAGAACATCGACGATGAGGGTCTTTCTCACTATAAATCAACTCTGAGGACTTCGCTTGCAGAATTCACTATGCAGCTGAGGCACCCAGAGAATGTCTTCACATTGAGGAGCTATATTGACCGTGGTGATGAGGATATCCCGCGCATCTTCACCTCAATGTTGCCCACATTCTGTCAGGCCACGCTGGACGACGTCCATATGTGCGGATTGGGGGATGGATGGTTACGATTCTTCCGTGCCGAAATGCAGCTGTCATTCCTCATTGCCTGCATTGCGATAGAGATACACGACGAAGACTTGGGGGTATTCCGAGAGGCGGGAAGCTTCCTTGAGAACGGAGGCTTCGGTATGGACAGCCTTTTGCCGAGGGAACACCTGTTTCAATTGATGCAGCTTTGTGCGCAGGTTGAACACAATGCTTTGCCACAAGAGCTGCATCCCGACAGTGACCATGTTGACACCTTGTCGCAATGCCCTATCGGTACCCTTGCGCTGGTGTTTATGATGGCAACACGGCCTTGGTTGGACATGGAGTACACGGCGCGTAGGGTTTCCATGCTGCTGAGCGATGGCGCAAAGGTGACACTGGATGACCGTAGGCTTCTCGCGTGCTCACCCATGGTTCTACTGCTCAACCGAATGATGGACGACCCGTTCTTCACGTTTCGGTCGCTTTCCACAGATCCTTCTTGCGTCGGCTTGGTCTGTGGACTTGGAGAGGCCGGCGGGTGGATTCCCATTACGAACGGAACCGCTGAAGACTTGGGCCCTGTAATCGATGAGCTAATCGATACCTTACCTGAAGCAGAAGGGAGGTGGCTTTTCGAAGAGACGGAGAGTTCCATGCCTGATACAACTCAAAAGTTGTTTCTGGCAGCTTTGGAGAGGAAAGGACGACGACATCGGTCCTCATCTACAACATAATTATGCCATAATGTTCTACGAGGGAGTGTTCCCCGCCTATTTTATACCAGTAGATAGCACAAAACTTCCTTCAATCGGCAAAGACAGAAATGAAATATCTCTGCGAGAATTGCTAATGATGGTTTTTCCACGTGGCAGCTGTGACCGGGGAACTTAACCATCATAGGAAGTTGAGTACAAGCTTCTTGTATCCATCGACACTTTCCAACAGTTCATCGATCATGACATGCTCGTCCTTCCCATGAGCGACCAAAATTGTACCCGGTCCGTAGAGCACCTTCTTATGCGACCCTTTGAGTCTCGGAACATCTGTTCCGTAACTAACTGGCGCGGACTCGAACCCGTCAAAGTCGAAGTCTAGCAGAGTTTCGGGGTATTCAAATTTGAAGTCAACTTCAACTCCCGGAAATTCTTGCACCACACTCGCAATCTGTTTCTTGATCTGGGGTAAATCGGCAGCTACCCGAACCGCACAGAGGGCCTTCGCCTCCGCAGCAACAACATTATAACCGGCTCCGCCTTCGATCTTGCCCATATTGAAGGTCGAGGGACCGAGGAGATCTGAAACGGGCCAATCTGATGTTTCCAGTTTGCTCATGGCTTTGATCAATAGCGAGATGGCGTTGCTTCCTAGATGAGGGTAGCCCGAGTGACTACATAGAGTGTAAGAACCAGCCTTTTAACGCACTCTTTTACGATGTTTGTCAACAATGAAACTTACCAAGCCTTGCCGGTCGCCGTCAACTCGAACACAACATGACCCTTGTGGCCTGTTCCGAGCTTTCCCTCAGTAGGTTCTCCGAAGATGCCAGCCTCCCAAGTCAAGCCCATATCGTTGGCAGCGATCATCCCGGGGCCTCCCTTCTCTTCGCCCACGACGAATAGGAAACTGATATCCCCATCTTTGATCTTTCCTTCCTTTCGAAGGTCTTCGACTGCCAGGACTTGAGCGGCCATCGGGCCCTTGTCGTCACAAGCTCCACGACCTCTTACTATTCCTGCGTCTAAGTCGATTGATAGCGGGATGTGGGGCGGTACGGTGTCCATGTGACAGGTTAGCAGGATGCGCGCCTCCCGCTTAGCGCCCAAATATGCATAGACATTGTGTCGTGTTGAGCCCGGTGCAATGGCAATTCTCTCAACCGTATACCCAAGAACTTTCATGTAGTCTTCCAAAAATATGCCAACTTCAAGCTCTTCGTCGCTGGTGCTTTCGACTGACATGAGCTGTGACAGTAACTCCACAACCGGAGGAAGCTCCTTTGAGCTCGTCATCTTGAATATGAGAGTCGTCAGTATTGATGAAAAGAACAGTAAACTGCAGACTTTTGCAGCTCATTAGACGCCAATAAGCTGGCTTGAACGTGATGATTCTTTTGTTGCTTCATCCGACCGGTGCTGGTTGCCGTAGGCGGACCGGAATTGGGCCCAGCAGAAGTCCCCGCACCGGCAGCGATACCGATTGCCGATCTCGGCCTATGTGCCGAGTGTCCAAGGCCGCCATCCTAGCTATCGGCACCTGACCAGATTACAGCATCACTGACAACGATAGGCACATGGAAAATGCCCCCAGCGTTAACGTTCCGGCTGGTGACATAAGGCCGGGAGCTAATCCGAGTTGCTTGGTAGGTACGAGCAGAGCACACAGTATCATTCCACAAACCCTGCAACTATGGGGAGCATAGCATCTCAAAAGGCAAGCAAGCCCACCATTCTGCTCGTCGAATCGAGCGTTCGAGGTGCCGAAACAGAACAGTGGGATCGCATACGATCAAGCTTTAATATCATTAAATACGACTGTCAAGATGAGGAAGCATTTTGCTCTCGTCTTGCTCCAGGTGGACCTTACTCAGCCATCGACGCCATTGTCCGGGTAGGATGGTTGAAAGCTGGGCAATTCGCAACCCATCAACTCTTCCGAGGACCCGCTGTCGCCAAATATCCACCATCGCTCAAACTCATTTGCTGCAGCGGTCATGGCTATGATGCCGCTGACATTCCTGCCCTCACAGCAAAGGGCATCACCTACGCCAACTGTCCGGATACGTGCACCGAGGCCGTGGCTAATACGGCACTGCACCTCATCTTGAACTCATTCCGATACTTCACTCTCGCAGAGCATCTTGCACGAAATAATCGATGGATTGAGAGCCGTCGTATTGGCACTATGGCCGTAGATCCTGCGGGCAAGACTCTGGGCATCGTCGGCATGGGCGACATTGGTATTGCCATTGCTCGTAAAGCCGCCTTGGCATTGGATATGAAGGTAAACACAAACTAATAGGAAGCATTGCCATCAAGAACATTGGCTAATGCCTCCCAGATTCACTATCATAATCGGAAACCACGAGAGGATCTCCAAAGAATTGGTACCGAGGCTGTCTACCATGAATCTCTTGAGTCACTCTTGAGAGTCTCGGACTGCATCTGCCTAGCATGTCCACTAACACCCGAAACAAAGCACATGTTGTCTACAAGCCGATTCGGCATCATGAAGCAAGAAGGGGTTCGTATCGTAAATATTGCGCGTGGCGGCCTTATTGACGAGGATGCATTACTGGAGGCAATGAAATCAGGGCGTGTGATTGGCTTGGGTCTTGATGTTCATGCGGCCGAGCCCACGGTGAACCCAAAGCTAAAGGAGAACTACGACACGACACTGTTGCCCCACATTGGTGTTTGCTCCGGAACGAGTTGGAACAACTTTGACAAGATCACGCTCACGAACCTTGAAGAGTGGTTCTTCGGCGACAAGACCAAGGTGACTGCGGTAAATAAAGTCTGAATACCATATAAATATAGAGATGGAACGTAGTTTCGTGAGTTGAAAAATCATGAGAGCTCCTCAACTCCAAAGACCGCGTACATATTAGATGTCATTCGTCGTTCTGATATCCCAAGCCAAAGAAGAAACGCCAATTTCATCATTCGTAATGTCAAAAGCACTCGGACTCCACTCTGAGTATGGCTGGCCCAGGAAGTCTTGAATAAAGGGATCATCGAAGGGAGCTCTACCGACCGAGGAGACCTCAGCTGTGGGGCTTGTTGTGGTCGAGGGTGTCTGGCCAGTCTGCGATCTGTTGGGATCGCCCTTTCGCCGACTTGATGTCGGGGCAACGTGCGCGGCGAAGGTACCAGCAGCTGTCATGTACCCTTGTTTGGGACCTGTAACCTGGCAGCTGCTAGTGGCATACTTGCACTCAAGGTCCTCCTTGAGTGTCGCTAGTCGGTCGCGAAGTTCGGAGGCTGGGAGATTACCGTCATCGGCCATGGACTGCAGCAGCGTGCACGCTAAGTCGACGGAGTTACGGTCGCCATCGTTCGGGTTTAGAATGTTTGAGAGAATGAGTATGATGGTGGATGAGAAGATGAAGTGAGCGTCGAAGTATCCGAAGGTTGCGATGGCCCCGTCCACCCAGAGCTGCTTCAGGAGTCGATTGGATGCTCTGGCAGCATATATACAGGCCTCTCCCAAGGCAATTGTCATTGGTGGCAGCACCTTGGTAGACTCTGATGACGGCGATGATGGAGTTTGAGATTGGCGCATGTAGTATTTGAAGAGAAAGAGGAGGATAGGTCTCGTTGTCAATACCACGCACTGGAAAGTCGTCAGTATTCAGCGTTATCCTCGACTTTAATCGTAACATACTTGGTTGAAGTGAAGTCGCAAGGAAGCGACTGCTCTTGTGCTGTACGAGGGGGTTCTGCTGTGGTCGAGCGCCAATTCAGGAGGCAGTGTCGCATCCCATTCCTTCAGACTTGTGAGAATCCTGTGAACATTGCTCACGAATGTCTTCTCGTGGGGTGAATGGATTTTGTAAGTGTGATCTAGCAGCAGACCAGTGATGCGGGCCAATCTGATATTGGCGATGAGTTGACCTGCGTCCACGAACTCCTCCTGCTCCTCAGGAGAAAGTCCGTCGGATGAGGGAAATGGCGCATCGATATCTTCATCTTTGATCATCACCGGATGGCCCAGCTTTGCACTGCATAGACGATCGAAGGTGTATACGGTCCACCAAACACGCCGCCGATTCTCGATCTCAACTGGGGGCGTTTTTGGGTCATACGTGATGTTTCTGTGAAGACCCATAGTGACACTCAGTCGTAGCGCAATGCCCGCATATGTGTATGCCGTGTTCTGTCTGTTCAAAGCATGCGAATAAAAGCACTGCTATCATGTCAGATCCCTTGAAACCAGGGCCATTTCAATCGGCGACTCACCATCAAAAGCAGAGTCTCGATGTACTCTATGTTGGGTTCCTCGTACAACTCCTCAAATAGTGACACTGATTGCAAGAAGAATTTCGCCCCTGGCACTTCTCGCTGACTAGTCGACTTTTTGAGATATAGCTCACCGAGGGCAAAGACCGCAAAGAGCCGACAGAGGAACATGGTGTCCGGAGTTTGCTCCGTTGCGGGGCCGTATAGCCGATCCACTCTCTGAGAGAAAGACTTCTTCTTCAGCAAGTGGTAATCACTTCCGATAAACCTCAAGACAACTTGGACGAGGAGATTGGCGTAAGTGTAGTTCGGCAGTTTGTAGTCGGTCTTGATGGCGCGTTGAAGCGTTGGATGTTTGAAGACTTTGACGTTCCTTGGTGGTGTAGGGCCATCGTGCCATAAGATGTTGGCGAAGGCAGTAAATGCGGCAGCGCCGACATAAACTGGCCGTGGCGCCGCAGGATCACATATCCGTTGTTCAATCACAGGATGAACCACTTCAGCGGTGGAGATCTCTTCTTCCTCTTCCTCCTCTTTTTCCTCGTGAGCTTCTGTGTTGACCACGATCTGGTCCGACACCTGGCTAGCTGACGGACTAGCCTGAGACGGTAGTGATGTCTTCCGCTTGAGCTCCTCATTCTCATCTTGGAGTTGTTTTATGTAGCTGCAAATTATGAGCTTAATTCTTCAAAATTCTTTCAATGTTATAGCTTACCTTTCCAAGACTGAGATCTTTCTCTCGCGGACTGGATAAAGACAAGCAGCGATATCATTGGATCTGTCACAGGCCCTGCACGGAGTGCCTCCGGTGCACTTGATCTTCTGAGCGTGGCATCGTTGGCAAGCTACAACGCTGCGTTTCAGCCGTTTTGAAGCACGCAATCCCGAGGACTCACTAGGCGATGCCATGACTCCGATCTAGCATAGCTTTTCGACAACATTGAACAGCGAAATGCAGAGAACCCGGCGTGGAGACTACTGTTGGAGTGGATCTGGTATTTAGATCCGCATCCTTACCCCAGTTGTTGCGGGGGAACGAACCATGATAAGGAGCGACAGCTGCTATTGGAAGAAAGTGCCGGGCCTATCTCCCCTGTATCTACCCCTATCATCGCTAACGCGCGCCATGGGCTGTTTATCGTTAGTCCATGCAACCCAATCTTCGGGCTTGGTTTCTTTCCTAAAGATGACAGCTTGAAAGCAATACACTGTTGGGGGTTCTTGTGAAAACTTTCGTATTAAAGGCATTGCTAATTATTTGAAAGCGTCTAAACGAACATCAAGCTTGACAAACAATAGCTTGTGATCAGAGCGTGTACTTGTAGTACACATCGAAGTCTCCCTTCTCGGGGATGCTCGGCAGAGGAGACCCCTCTTCCTCCGCCTTCCTGATTCTCTTCGCGCGCCTCTTGTTTACAATGTGCATTCCTATCATGAGAGCGGCAACACACGCCAATGCAACTGCCGCGAGACCCATAGCGATAGACAATCCTCGGATATATCGAGGCTTGTCCGAGCTGACGAAGATTTGACCCACTGCAACTCCAGCAGTGTTGCCAAGGGTCAGGGCACCACCAACCATCGTGGCTCTCTTGAAGTGCTGTGCGGCGTTGTCGCTGAGCCACTGTTGAACCAATTAGCACCTGTTGATGTTCAACGCAGGATTTCCACTTACCATCAGACTCATTCCTGTTGTAGGGTAAATTCCCATCACGGCGACTATTCGGTTAAGTTAGCAAGGTTCGGTGCATTTAGAAGTTTTAAGCACTGGAAAACGCACCAAAGCAGGCAAAATATCTGACGCCTAAGTTATCAACGGAGATCAGCAATGCGTATCCGATGATAAGGCAGACAAGAGGGCCACCGATCCAATATCCGCGATTCCCAGTCTTGTCGGACATGTAGGCTGTGAAGAGGAAAGTGAGAAGGCCCCAGACGTAGATGGGAACAGTCATCAGGTTGGCAGTAACCGAGGTGTAGCCTAGGCCATTGACGATAGCGGGAAGGAATGTCGTGAAACCGTAAAGAGAGATGTCGACAGCGAACTGGAAGATCCAGCTGTTGATATGATTAGCTTTGTGTATGGGAAGTTTCAAGTTCTACTGCAGACGTACTGGAGATGGAACTTGGGATCGATCAAGCCATCAATGACAGCCTTCCAACTGAATTCTTCGTCAATACCGAAGGACGGCTCTAATTCGTAGCGAAGTTTCATCATTTCCTTCTCCTCGGGCGTCAGGAACCAAGCGTCCTTTGGTGTGGCAGGGAAGAACAGCCAGAAGAGCGGAGCGATGACGATAGTCATGCATCCTTCGACGATGAAGAGGGCTCTCCATGTCGAGAAGTACGTTCCGGTTCGGATTTGAGTCAGTGCATATGCGAAAATGCCACCGAAGGCGCTGGCAATTGCACTGAAAGCAAAGATGATAGACGATCTAAAATAATGATGAGCCAAATGAACATCAGCACATTCGGTGCAACCAACCTCTTGCCCCTTTCAGACTTCTTGTACACCATTCCAATGTAAACATTGATGCAAGGAATGAGACCAGCTTCAAAGAAGCCAATAAGCATACGACAGGCGTAGAGTCCTTGCCAGTTATGGACGAAGCCTGTGCCTAAGCAAACGATACCCCTAAAGATCGCTCTTGTTAGTCGCATGGTTCTAGAATGGATGTGAATACAACCTACCAAGCAAGACAACAGAAGGTGAGCAAATGCTTGGGGCCAATGATCTTGAGCAGAATAGCAACGGGCCCCTCGAATGGCACGTATGTAGCGTAGAGAAGGGTGACAGCAGTGCCATATTGGTTGCCGGTCAAACCAAGGTCTGCTGGGAGGCCGGCGATCTGCGCGTTTCCAATGTTGCTCCTGTTGTCAATCTGTTAGCTATTTGCGGATCCGTATGTAGTAGTTGATGGCCGACTTGCCTGTCAAGGTTGGCCAACATGTACAGGATTCCGAGGCCGCCGATCGCCCAGATCTACAGGTAAGTAAGTCAGCATGGACACACTCAACGAGACACGGATCTCCTTACGTCGAACTTTCGCATCATCTTAGCCTCCTTGACCGGGTCGATATAGGCGGAAACCTCATGTCCCTCACTAACATCGTTACCCTGGCCATCCTGGCTGCTGCCGGTCTTGATGTCGAGTTGCTTGTCTGCACTCATTGTGGTAATCCAGTCCTGCAGCCGACCAAAGATGGAAACTGGCGTCGCATCGTCAGGAAGCCGAAGTCGGCATTTACTGTAGATATATCTCTATTCACAACTCAACAACAGGTCTGAAGAACTATCATCCCCCCTAGTTGGCGGGCGCGCCACGGCAATCCTCATATCTGTTGATGCCTGTTTATCGCCCTACACGCTAGGGTGGCGCGGATGATAAGGCTCACTTGGCGCAGGGTCGCCGGGGTAGCTCATCCGATCCTTATCAGCTGTTATCAGATTCGATCGGCACTTCATTTGACAAACCGACTTAGCTTCGATAAGCCGGCAAACATTGCCGATCGAGTATCGGCACAATTATCCTGAAGCCGAGTTGAAGTTGACTTATATCGAATATAGGACCAAAGGCAGGAGAATTGAGTCCAGGATGCTGGTTGAGCAGGTGCTGTCAAGCTCAACACTATTGAACAACTTTGAACATGCCTTCAGCTATCTCCGAAGAGGGAGTTCGCATTGCGATAGACAGAGGCGGTACCTTTTGCGATTTGTGAGTTCATCCCTGAAACGCAGCCAACAACACTGTAGTTTGGGAGAACCGCAATCAACTAACACGCAACTTGTTTTAGCTGGGCAAGAATTCCGGGTCACAAGGAAGACCTCGTTTTCAAGCTTTTGTCTGTATGTCCAGATGAATATGAGGATGCTCCTACCGAGGGCATCAGACGCATCTTGGAAACTGCCACAGGATCGTCTATCCCTAAGGGAACCCAACTAGACTTGGCACCGGTTGAGAGCATACGCATGGGAACAACTGTCGCCACAAACGCATTACTCGAACGCAAGGGCGAGAGAGTTGCCTTGCTGATTACGAAAGGATTCGGAGACCTTCTCATTATCGGGAACCAGGCCCGACCACGGTTGTTCGATTTAGCTGTGAAGAAACTGGATCGCCTATATGAGAAAGTTGTGGAAGTTGATGAGAGAATCACCGTCGAAGGCTCTTCGGAAGATCCGGATTCCCCCGTTATCGATATAGCTTCAGACCCAAGTATTTTCACTGGAGTCAATGGTGAAGTACTAAGATGCATCAAGAAGCCGGACGCAGACGCCGTCAAGAGGGACTTGCAGGCCGTCTGGGATGAGGGCTATCGCAGCTTGGCCATCGCGCTGATGCATTCTTACAACTTTCCGGACCACGAACTACAGATCGGCGAGATCGCTAAAGAGATGGGCTTCAAGGTCTCATTATCCTCTCAACTTCAAGCGATGATCAATATCGTTCCTCGTGCTCAATCCGCCACCGCCGACGCATACTTGTCACCTATCACGGAGAACTATCTGGGCAGCTTCCGAAAGGGCTTCAAGGGAGAGCTGATGAATGAGGACGGAAACAAACTTTTGCTTTCTCAATCGCATGGCGGTCTAGTCAAATTCAGCGACTTCACCGGTCTTCGCGCCATTCTTTCCGGCCCCGCTGGCGGTGTCATTGGATATGCGAAGACCTGCTACGATGCAAAGGAGGGAACCCCGGTTCTTGGGTTTGACATGGGAGGGACCAGCACTGACGTCTCCCGTTATGGAGGAACACTTGAGCATGTCTTCGAAAGCACCGTTGCCGAGGTCCCTATCCAATGTCCCCAGCTGGATGTCAACACTGTTGCTGCCGGTGGTGGATCCATCTTGGAGTGGAACGGTGGTCTCTTCAAAGTCGGCCCTGACTCCGCCGGCGCATATCCGGGCCCGGCGTGTTACGGAAACGGGGGCCCGCTGACGATCTCGGATGCCAACTGCTTCCTTGGTAGGATTCTGCCGGAGTATTTTCCCCGCAAACTTCATGTCGACACCGTTCGAGAGAAGTTCCTCGCGCTCACGGACCAGGTCAACCGGGACAAGCATGGCAGCGACAAGCTCACGCCGGAGGAAGTTGCGATGGGCTTCATTCAGGTTGCTAACGCCACGATGGCGAGACCAATCCGAACTTTGAGCGAAGGGAGAGGTTTCGAGGCGTCAGCGCACAATCTTGCCTGCTTCGGCGGCGCAGGAGGCCAACACGCCGTTGCCATTGCCCGAGATCTCGGCATTCATCGCGTGCTGATTCACCGACTATCCAGTATTCTGTCAGCGTTTGGTATGGCACTTGCTGATATCGTCGTTGAGCGCCAAGAGCCGGAAGCCGTGACGTATGGCCCGGAAGCTCAGGAGCGATTGACTCAGCGTTTTGCGTCCGTCTCTTCGCAAGGGACAAAGGACCTTGAGCTTCAGGGCATTCCGGCTCATCGAGTGTCTCATGAGAAATTCCTCAACATGAGGTACCGGGGCAGCGATACAGCTCTGATGATTCCCGAACCAGAGGATGGAGACTTCGCCGCAGCGTTTGTCACCCGCCATCATAGGGAGTTTGGTTTCAGCCAGGAGAGGGATATTCTGGTTGACGATGTCCGAGTCCGCAGTGTCGGAAAGGCTATGGAGCTTCCCTTATCGAACCCTTTCGAACAGATGGCTGGCTCAGACCAGTTCCCTTACGCCGATGCAACCAATGCGAAGACTCAGAGGATATACTTCGAGAAGTTGGGCTGGACGAATGCGCCTGTTTTCCACATTGACAACTTGCCTAAGCTGAGCAAAGTTCAGGGTCCTGCAGTGATTTTTGACGCGACTCAGACGATTATCTTGGATGAAGACAGCCACGCCGTCGTACTGGACTCACATTTGGTCATTGACCTGTTCAGCCGAGAAGAGAAAACGACGTCAACGGACGAGGTTGACCCGATCAAGTTGTCTGTGTTTGGTCATCGTCTCATGTCAATTGCAGAGCAGGTACGTCACCGTCACGGAAAGCAACTGGAAGGAAATTTCTAACAACATGCAGATGGGGCGAACTCTTCAAAAGACCTCAATCTCCACGAACATCAAGGAGCGACTCGATTACTCTTGCGCAATCTTCTCAGCATCCGGTGGACTCGTTGCTAACGCACCTCATATTCCCGGTCATCTTGGCTCCATGAGCACGGCGATCAGGTATCAGGCGGAGAAATACGGCAAAGATGGCCTGAAGCCCGGAGATGTCATTCTCTCTAACCACCCTTGTGCCGGAGGAACGCATCTGCCAGATCTCACTGTCATTACGCCGGTATTCGACGACAACGACAACCCGACAAGAATTATGTTCTTTGTGGCAAACAGAGGTTTGATCTATGGGCTTCGTTCGTATGAGGCAATTGCTAACTCTTGACAGGTCATCACGCTGACATCGGAGGCATCCTTGCCGGTTCAATGCCTCCCAACTCAACAGAGCTGTGGCAAGAAGGTGCCGCTATTGAGTCCTTCAAGATGGTCGACAGAGGAGTTTTCAACGAGGAGGGCTTGGTGGAAGAGCTATATGTCAAGCCTGCTCAGTACCCAGGCTGCAGTGGAACTAGGACGTTGCGAGACAACATCGCCGACCTGAAGGCCTCAGTCGCTGCTAACAATCGGGGTATCTACCTGATTCAGGATCTCGTCCGACAATACTCGTGGCCGGTAGTAGAGTTTTACATGGAAGCTATTCAGAAGAATGCTGAGGAGAGCGTCCGGGCCTTGCTGAAGACCTTCAGCCGCCGGTTCCGCGGAAATCCCCTGAAGGCAGTTGACTACCTGGATGATGGAACCGCGCTGGCTCTGCGAGTGACCATCAATGGAGAAGATGGATCCGCCAAATTTGACTTCACGGGAACCGGACCGGAGGCGTTGAACAACCTGGTGAGTCTGCGCTGTAAGGATGTTTGGCGGCAAAGGCTGACTTGATTTCGCAGAACACACCCTCGGCTGTGATGTACTCTGGCATAATCTACTGCATGCGCTGCATGATCTCTTCAGATATCCCTCTGAACCAAGGATGTTTGGCGCCTATCGAGATCTACTGTCCACCAAACACCCTCTTGTCACCTAGTCTCAAGGCTGCAACCGTTGGATCCAACGTCGAAACCTCTCAACGCATCGTCGACCTCATCTTCAAGGCATTCCGCGCTGCAGCTGCCAGCCAAGGTACCTGCAATAACTTGACATTTGGCTACGGCGGCACGAATAAGGATGGGCAAGTCACCAAGGGCTTCGGATACTACGAGACGATTGCTGGCGGTGCTGGTGCAGGTCCTCAATGGGAAGGCCAGTCGGGTGTTCACACCAACGTCACGAACACACGCATCACCGACCCAGAGGTGCTTGAGAAGCGCTACCCCGTGCTGTTGCACGAGTTCTCTATCCGCAAGGGAAGTGGTGGCCTCGGTCGAAGACGTGGTGGTGACGGATGTGTGCGTGATATCGAGTTCCGCAGGCCAATGCAAGTAAGCATCCTGTCGGAGCGCCGTGTCATCGCGCCATATGGTATGGCTGGTGGCGAGGAAGGTCAAAGGGGAGTCAACCTTTGGATTCGAAAGGATGATACCGACAACACCGTGAGAACAATCAGCTTGGGTGGAAAGGCGACGGTGATGATGAATCCTGGTGATCGCATCATCGTGCAGACACCAGGCGGTGGAGGTTATGGACCCAGTGAGGATGTGGTGGAAGAATTCATCCCTGAAGATGAGGGAAAGGTGGAAGGCACGAAGGCCAATGGGGTCAATGGGTTTTCCCACATTTCACGGGCGAGCGGCAGTGTAGCCAACAGAGAGTCCGCCGCTGCATCTAACTGAAGACGTAGACCAAAACAAAATCAGTTATAGAGTCAAGCACAATTATCACACATGTAAACAGCCGCATGTCGGTGAGATGAAACTGTTTCAATTATGAAGCCCCACAAGCGGGGTTTTGTCGATTGACGTGCAGTACGTTGATGGCTGAACTGCTTCCAAGATACGCAAGGCGCAAGCTGTTACAACTTCAGGGGCAGTGGAGTCTTCCTTGACAAGACTCCTTCAAACACGACCATCACAGCAGAACCAGCCGACAATCACTTCCTCTCCCAAACCTTGACGCCTCCCACGTTGAATACGTGCATCTGGTTTCTATCCCAGAAACCATCCTCATCGGCCGCAATCTTTGCGGCAGCCTCCGGCTCGGACAGGATGGCGCCAAACTTCTGCCACGCAGCCTCATCCTCGAACTCGATGGTCACAATGACGTCGTATTTCATCTCCTTGTTGTTTCCGAAAAGGACAATGGGCTGATCATCTGCCCCGCCGTGTTGGGGGTAGTACCTGGTGTGCTTCAGGGGCATCGCGTTGCCACACAACTCCTCCACCAGAACTAAGTGTTGCTCGTATCGTCTCTCAAACTCGTTGTGCGAAATACCGTCTTTCCGGCAAGCGAGAACCATGCTGGTGAAAACCATGTTGATGGGACTTCAAGTGAGGATGTTTAAGGAGATTGAGGATCTTGAATATTATTTCGAAGACTTGCTTCTAGATTGATTTAGAGCTGTGATGAAAGTTGGGCTGGCGATGGTGGGATTTATTGCCGAACCTAGAGGTTCCTGTAAGTGTACTTATAGTCTAACACCGTATTCGGTTCCCACTACATATATCTAGGGAGCATTCCTGTATGTTCCAGCGCCTTCACTTGAATCCGTCAAGCCTCTTCCGTTGCCTGAAACATCAAAGCCCGAAGTAAGCTGACACCAGACGGCCTCAACTGGTACTGATTGGCCTCTAGTAGGTAGTACAGCGACGATACCCCGCTACTCCGCACCCAACTCCGCCAGTCGCGAACACGATCAACTCCGCAGAGAGCGACGTGAAAACTCCGCAGAACAATGATCTACGTTAGAACTAACTATGGATGACTTAAACCTATGTAGGCAAATGATTGTACAGTTCACACGTGCGTAATGAAATTCGCCCGCACAATCTGGACGCGGTGCGGTGCGAAGGGAACATTGTTTATGTCCGATTTCTCAACTACCTCATGGGCCTTTTTTTTTTCTTTTTTTTTTTTTTTTTTGGCTTGACAGGCTCAATCTCACAACACAGAGAGGATAGAACAGAAAATCAAGACGACAGAGCTTTCTATCATTATCATGCAACTTAATCTTTAGTAATGGAGACTTGGCCAGCCCTGTGACTTCGCCGAATTCGATACTCAAGGGACAAGGCCTTTATTCTTCTATGATATCCTAAGACGTCAAGCAGCTTGACAACGAGCTTACACTTGCATCAAAGCTCTTTTGCGCGACTGAAGTGCTTGCTTCACCAGAGTAGCACTGGATGCAAACTCGAACGCATGGGGTAGTCCAGGCAGAATGTGGAGCTCAACCTCAACCTCTGCTTCAGCTAGCTTGTTGGTATACGCAAGGTCCTCAAACATGAAGAGGTCCAGTTGTCCCACGTCAATGTAAGTAGGCGGAAGACCTCTCAAATCTTTAGCTCTCCCCGGCGCAGCATAAATCGAGGCATTAGCTTTCGGGCTCCCGGCTACTTTCTCTCCCAAAACGGAGCTCCAGCCTAACTGGTTGGCGCTTTCGGTCCACAAGAGAAATTGGGTGTAAGAAGAGTTCTCAGGTAGCCGAGTTCTGTCATCCAACATGGGGTAGATCAGAATCTGCTTCGCGATGGGAGGGCTTAAAGCGCGGTCTCGGGCTAGTAGGGCGGCACCTGCCGCGAGTCCGCCGCCTGCGGAGTCGCCCATGATGGCGATGCGCTTGTTGTCAACGTGGTACTCCTTGGCGTGGTCAGAGATGTATTTAAGGCCGTAGTAGACATCTTCGGTCAGTTTGGGACCTGATTGCTCTGGTGCAAGACGATAGTCCACAGCGAAAAAGTCAAGCCCGTAAAAGTCGACGGCGTTGGCAATGTTGGGAGCATACAACTCGACGCTTCCCGCCACCATGCCTCCGCCATGGACGTAGAATACTGCAGGTTGTTGCGTGGCATTTTTGGGCTTGTTGGAGTTGGAAAAGTGTGTGATGTTGAGAAGCGTCCCGTCGTGGCTCTCAAAAGGAATAATGGTTTGAAGAACGTTTTCTGGAATGGGCATTCCGAAGCCGAGGCCCTCTAATAGACTGTCTCCCCATTGCCTTAATTCAAATACGTCTTTGAAAGTTGTGGGAGGAGGAGGAATGTTTACACCCGCGAGAACTGTTGCAAACTCGGGGTCATAGTGAAGGGTTGAAAGAGACATGCTGATGTTCTGAGGAAGGAACAATGTTGTTGTAGTTGTGTGCGCTTCCGAGTTGTCAAAGCTGGGTAATCGCGGACGTGAAACAGGCTTTTTATATCACATCTTTGCCTAAGATATCCAAGGCTGTCTAGCGATCGCGAGATAAGTCCTAGCTTAGATAACACTTGCGTTTTGCAGCATGTGGGCGGCCAAGTCGGACTATGGAGGCTGTGATATAGTGTTGGGGCCTTATTGGTGGGTGGGGTCCAGCTGAATCTGGTGATGGGGATGCAACCTTGCTCTACAATTGAGACCCCAAGGGTTAGCGAGACACACTCTTTCTTTTGAGATGACGATTCTAGTCAGCTTTCACCATTCTCAGCCCCGTCCATGGGGTGGCTAAGACAATTCGGTGTGCTCAGGCAGGCTTCAAACCCCCAACAGTGTGGGCACATGAGACATCGTACGAGACTATTGATCTCATCACATATGGGGACGCACTGCTTTTTTCCCTTGTCGCCTAACAATTTCGTTTTTGGAGTTCTGAAAGTGGATGCAATCATCGAAAAAAAAGTCCAAGTGTTGGCAAATGATCTGGCAGACTCGTCGCTAACGTTGCCCGGTGGAACTATCCATGTCATCGCTGAAAATCCTGGAGAAGGTGCCTGACGGTGATTGCATTTTCGAATAGAAAAATATATCTACAAGCGGCGATTTCTGCAAAAGACACGGCTGAGAATATCCTTCGATTGGGTAATTCATTTGGGGTTGTCACAGTGGAGCGGCCGAGGCATTTGAAGTTGAGTTGCCCGACCACGCTGAGCGACACTCAGTCCTAAGGCCGGCAGAGAAAGCGCTGGTGATACCAAATACAGAAAAGCAACAGTAGTAAATATGGTGCTTCATCTATGGTCACAGTCTCGAATGAGTGGCCCCGTTAAAAATGAGAAGTGGATTCGTATCATTTTCACCTGCAAATGCACTAGGAAGCTCTATTCAACGTCAAATCGTTGCTAGAAACTTGGCCAGTCAATTTTGGCAACTCTTGATTGAAACAACATGAATTTTTATTATAAGAACTCCGAGTCCTAACCACAGCCTTACATACTTGGCCTACTTTCCTGTAAGCTGCCGTCAGTGCTTGAAGCTCTCAGATGCCAAACCTTCAACGCTCCTTGGGCGCTAGGTGACCTCGGATACTTTCCACCGCTATCATTGGTCACAACTTGCTCAAACCCACTCCACAGCAGCCAGTGACGAATGAAACCACATTTAAGTCTCCGCGACTGTCATTTGGTTGCCAAATTCGAGGTTGTAGCTGGCCTCCTTCCCCTTAATTTCATTCCGGGCTACAGCATGAACGCCGATGAACAACCCAGGAGAATTTATGATGAAGTCAACACCAGTTGAACAAAACCCCGCGACCAAGCGTGCATCTTGCGACCGGTGCAGTAAGTGGATCTCGGCTCTTCAAAAACGGGGCTAAATATGAACTGATCCTCTACCCGATACCTAGGAGAGAAGAAAGTGAGGTGTGATGGGAAAGTACCAAAATGCGGTAGATGTGCAAGATTTGGAGCAGAGTGTTTCTATTCCATTCAAAAGCCAATTGGCCGGCCTCCGCGGCGGAAGATCTGCGCATGCCGCGTGTCCACCCCGATGGATGACCAGCAGGCGGGTACATCGGAGCCACCTCCCCGGACGCAACACACGGCAATCGGGCCCAGTTCCGTTCAGCCGCCTAGCACAGCGACATTAGCTCCGCCTTCGCCCGCTTACACCGGGGATACAATTCACGGTCAAAACAATAGGGCGACTAGCCTTTCAGTCTCAAGCACCACTGCCCTCTGCGAGGAGCAGGCGGAAGCTGGGCTAGACACATTGTCTGAAGATGGTGGAGTCTTGATTACAACAGCTCCAAGTCCCAATAATGCTCCGCTTGGTTCGACTGCGGTTCCTTCCAACCAGACTTCTTGCGCCTGCCTCGCGAGCTTGTACCTTATGCTAGATCAGATGCAGGCGAATGAGGAGATGACGTTCCCTTCAGGTCTCCATTTCCTGAGAGGGATGATGTTGAAGGCCAGAGATATCATCCACTGCCCGATTTGTCCGACGAGATTTCTCTCCGCAACACAGAATATGTCACTTTTAGGCGGACTCATGATGTCTATAGCAAGACAGTACGGATCTGTGCTTGAGGCAATCGAGTCCGAGGCAACAACGGCGACTAGACTCAACCAGACCAAAGCCATTGAATTCCAAGGATTGGGGTCAGAAGGGGTCGTTTCATCACCAGATGATCCGTCTCACACACCAGGTTGCAATGTCTCTGGCGGGTTCAGCATACAGATGCACCCGCTGGAATGGATGATTTTAGCCAATAAAGCCGTCAAGACGGAGATTTATGGTTTGGATGAAGCCAGCAAGAGCTCTTTCATGGGTTTACTGGATGTCTTGGAAGAGCGCCAGAGGGGTTGGCACAGCAGTCCTCGCAGCCAAGATTATGCTCAATATGCGAGCGGTGCTGATCGTCCAACATGCATTCGCATAATCGATGAGGTTAGAAGACTCATTGGTATTTTGAAGCTTGAGGACAGTGCAAACGTTGATCCCATGATGGAGTCATGAGCTTGTAGGCAGTTATCCGTCTGTTGACCATGTGCCTACCTATATTCAGCACATAGTCCACATAGTATATTCGTACTTTAGATCACTAGCCGGTCAGGGTCAGATATTAAGATCCTCATTTGGTTGCTGAAAATGACGGAAACCACAGCCCGTGAATGAATATTTCGGGGCGTTGGGCAGAGCAATTTCCCCATTCAGGCTCACGGTTGGTTAGCGTATTCGCATTCGAATCCAACGTCATCCCTAATGGCAGCGAATAGAGCCCCGGCGGTAATCCGTAGGATTCGACGTGTTCTGTTTGTAGTTAGCATGTTATCCAATGGGCCAACGGTTCGGAGGCTTTTGTAGTTGCCCCTCTACGTGGCCAGCCAAGACTGAGATAAGTCTCCGACTAGTATATTGAGGAAAAGCGCCACAAGTTCTGAACGTTCAATCCTCCCCTGATCTTCTTCGCAATATGGTTCGTCGATCATCTGACGTGAGACAAATCCCGTTCAAGCCACCAAAGCGCTTACAGATATGTACCTACCCGTTGCCGACTTTCCCATTCTACTCGGCCGTATTTGCACATTCTAGAACTCGGCTTTCATCTTCCATTGCAATCATGGCCTCAGACTCCACGATGGCGCCACACGTCCTCAGAAACGTTCTCGATGTCTGCATCATTGGGGGCGGTCCAGCGGGTCTATCTGCGGCCTTATCCCTTGGGAGGGTTCTTCGAAGTGCCGTCGTATTCGACTCTGGAGACTGGAAGGCGCACAGCGTCTCCCGCATCGGCGGAGCTCACGACCAGGATAATCCGTCTTTGATCCGGAATGGGCTGAAGGCAGAGCTGCAACGAAAGTACAAGACCATCATGTTTGCCAAGACAGGAGCCAGGACCGTTCGTGAGGCCGGTCCCGTCTTCGAGGTAGAAGATGAGAACGGACGATATTGGAAAAGCAGAAAGGTGATTCTGGCGACAGGCACGCGCGACGTGTTGCTAGATATCGCGGGATACAAAGAGTGTTGGGGGAAGGGAATGTCAGTGCTACCAATCACTACGTGCGGTTCCTCATACTCACGACTGGACAGATACAACTGCCTGCATCGTTCCGGATTTGAAAACTTCGGTGCTGTGAATGCCGCTGTCCTTCTCACTTCAACCAGCCGTATCAAGTTATCCGATGCGATCTCATGTGGTCAACTTGCACGGCAATTTTCGACAAACATATGCCTGTTGACCAATGGTACCGGATCCCTGGCTTTTAGCGATGTGCAAAAGGCCAGCGAAATCCATAGTCTCAGAGTGGACGACCGGAAGATTCGGAGGCTTCAGACCTTGGGCTACAATAGCGATGCTTCAATGGTTGTTGAATTTGAGGATGGAACAACGTCGTCGTTTGGCTTTCTTTTTCACAAACCCGATACAGTTCCCAACGGTAGTTTTGCAGAGCAACTTGGGTTGTGTACTACGCACACGGGAGACGTCTCGATTTCGGGTTCTACGCAAGAGACAAGTAGAAGAGGCGTGTTTGCGGCTGGTGACTGTGCTACGCAGGTGAAGCACGTGTCTGTCGCTATGGGTGCTGGTTCCGCTGCAGGGGTTGGAGCAAACGCGCAGATACTGCAGGATGACTTCGAGAAAGATTGGTGATGAAGAGCAGCACATGTTGGTAGATCAAGTGCCCAGAGTTTAGAGCATCCAATGGAATCAAACTTCGGATTACAGGCTGCCTACGATTTTGAAAACTGCTCTGTGATGAGGCTGTCGTCGTTCATTAACAACTGCTTGGCTTGTCGGAGCACAACATCGTTAATGACGCCTATTGGATCAGGTAGCACAAACCACAAGGTTTCGGTTTACTGACTGTGAACTCCATAGGCCTGGTCTGTACGAGATATCTCGGGTTCGCATTGTCCACTGCGCGGTCTTGGCTCCGGTGATTTGACTCGGGCGCAGTCGATACGAGTATTCGGATTCGGGATGATCCACGCACGAGAACCCGAGATCATTCGTATTACTTCAAGCTCTCCCCCCATTCGTCTTCCCATCTCATGCCTCGTCACCTACACTCCATCATGTCAACTCGGCGGACACATACAAAGTCTCGATTCGGCTGTCGCCAATGCAAGCAGCGCAAAGTCAAGGTAGGACACTGCGACAAGTCATCCTATGTTGCTGGAACCCACCAAAGCGCACAGATAGTGGAGGCTTTCGGCGTTAAGAATGCGCGTTTCTGATTATCTCCTTCTAACGATTGCGAGGGTCTGGCAATGGATTGTGGCGCCTGGCAAGATGGATACCTGCTAACACGGTCTTCATAAAGTGCGACGAGCGTCATCCGGCATGTTTCAATTGCACAAGATACCGAATTGTTTGCAGCTTTGTCAGTGATGGAAGCTCAACGACCCAGGACAATCTTTCGACCTGCCATGCCTGTCTAAGGTGAAATTCCCGCTGTCCTCGCCGGAGTACGTTTGAGTACCTGACTTCTGTATCTCAGGCCTTTCGAACCATCGGGATTGGCAACACCAACATCGGAAACTCCCGGTCTTCCCCAGAGACCCGCGTCAAATCAGATACCCGAGTCTCCCGCAAGTGCTAGGAAGAGGTCCCTTCCCAATGATGGCAGTACCGACTTTCTTGATCTTGTTCCAAAATATCCAAGAATAGCCTCTCCGGCCTCCTCGACTATTTCTGACGACTCTTGGACTACCGACATCGACTTGATGCACCATTACTGTGTTCTGACATGCGACACTATGGGCTATCGAGACACCGTCAGACATGTATGGCGTGAAGTGTTTCCGAGAGAGGGACGTCGACATGGCTTTGTGATGCATGGGCTTCTCGCTATAGCAGCTCTCCACAAAGCTTCCATGTTGCCCGCAGGCGAACGACATTTGTACCTTACCCGGAGTGCGTACCACTACGACAAAGGACAAGAGACGTTTCGCAGCCTGTTATCGAATGTCACCGAGGACAACTGGAAAGCCATGTTCTGCTTCTCGGCTGTAGTCAATACTCGGGCATGCACGCCGGCCACATGTCCAGGAAACAGTTCAAATGCAAATACGTCGATATCGGATGTGGTGAACCTCCTATCAATCATGAGAGGTGTGCGCGCCATCCTCGAGGGTTGGACGGTAAGGATTAGGGAGAGCGATCTGGCTGCAATGACACATGGCATACCCGTGATTGGGGCACTTGAAGCGTAAGCAACTTTGGGCACTGCAAGAAGCTGTTTGTCGGGATCACATGCTGATGTCGTGCTCATTTTGTGTTGCAGCAATACCCGTCCAAGCCTCGAAGGAAGCCGTTTACCACGAGACACGTTTGATGCCCTGTCCCACCTCCGGTCTCTTTACCGCTCTCAGCAACACCCAATTCCGAACCGTGCAGACTACAACGCAATGGTATCGTCTCTCGAAAGGAGTTGCATCGGTTTGGCCAACGTGGGCCTGCAAGTTGAAGTCAGCGCCTGCCTCCTATGGACATACTCCATCCCGGAGTCAGTCATTGATGATCTCCGGCGGAACGAGCCACATGCATTGGTGTTGTTATCTTACTTGAATGTGTTCATCGCGGTTTTGGACAAAGACTATTGGTTCTTTCGCGGATGGTCAAGCCAACTCTTGGCAGATATAAACAGCCACTTCAAGGAAGATCACCGTTTCGACGAGTGGTTGGCATGGCCCAGAGGTAACACTTAGTGCTGCCGGAGATGTTGTCGGAACTTCTCGCTGCGGAGTTAAGAAAACCCATGCCTGGATTGGCAGGTACACTTGTATGATAATGCACGAAACAGTAGGACCTGCAACACAGGTAGCGACAGTAACCCCAGGACTTGGCAAAGACACAAACTCAACGCCAAGGCGGAAGGAATCAAGGTTCTTCCACGACGACATTCCTCTTCAGGCCCTCCGTTATGCGTTACAACTTGCCGACATGGAATTCGCAGTCGCTGTGATGACTGATGCGTCGATACCCAGCACCGCCAATGTTGCGTACGTAGTCTGGAAAAGATGGGATAAACGGTCACATTGGCAGGGAATAACAAAAAAGGTTATTTTTGAAGCCTGCAGCTGAAAATCAGAAACTTACCATCGAAGAATACAACGTGAAATCACCGAACCCAAGTGGCCGAAGCGCTGACGTGCCGGAGATACCCTGGCTCTCTCCACAACAGCGAAAGCGAAGTGAAAGGTAACGGTGCGCTGGGCTGCGGGCGTGCCCAACGTCCAGCCGCGTAGTTCTAGGCCAGCCACAAAAGACGGGACGACTGGCCTGTGCTGCTTCGAACTTCAGACAAACTTGAAGTAACGGCGAAAGCGAAGCCGGAACCTTGACTGCGGCAGGTGGCAGACGCAAGAGCCACATAAGGCTTCGGCGTTGACGAGATCCTCTGAGCGAGCGGTTGTTCGGATCGCGGCAGAGTCATCCAGTGTGCGTTTGCACCTTGCAAAAACCCGCAACTCAGTCCCATTATTGGATGAGTGGTAGGTGGCTGACGAATCCATGTGTTCGGCACGATCGATGCCGGTGCTTACTGGAATTAATATCAATAAAGTAGGTGTATGGCCAACATCACTTTCACATACGAAGGCTTACATGAAGACTGGGGCGCGCTATTGTTGAGTTTCCTGTCACCCTTCAGTTGCGCCTCATCTGAAGGAAGGCGAAGCATTGTCGACATCTCAGGAGAGCCAAATAAAGATACCGGATTCGTCGATTTATCGAAACCGAGCGGCCAGGCTGTTTGGATTCGAACTTTGCCAACTGCTGCCCCCCTTTATGGGCTTCTTGATTCGTCCACGTCGGTATTTGCAATCCTAGCGTCGATCTGGAATCGTGAAGGTTCCCCCACACAATGTCGGTGCGTGGGATCCAGTGGACAGACCGGTTCACGTTGATTAAGATGGGTGGCTTGGCTCCAGATACAATTCTCCGCTAGCCCACCGTAGGGCAGATCATCGCAAGGCACGGGCAAGGCAGACTGGACAGGGTGGACTTTTCTAGTGCGATTAACTACCGAACTGTCCTTGCAGGAACTGACAGATGTGGCTGGCTTCACCAAAAGCTGCGTGAAACGCCTCGTTGCAATCGCAATCTCTCACCGGATGGCAGATCCTAAGTAGCTGAGCCGGGGCGACCCTTGCACAACGGCCCGGATGGGACATACCGGCGGGTGTTGATTGGATCTTCTGCCGTGTCAAAGCCCGGATGCTCCACTCGGCGCTACCCGTGCATCGCACATAGCGACGCAAGGACGTTGAATTACCATGGGGTCGCGCGAGTCGGTCTCGCTCTCGCTCTCGCGGGTGGGGAACACCAGATTGTCCAGAGTCCCATTTCCAGGCTGTGTAGTATTCCAGACACGAAGATTTTGTTATCGCGTCAGTGATCTTCTGTTGTTGTGCAGTCTGAACTTGTTTTAGACTCAAACGTCGTCATGGAGAATGACTCGATCTGAAGTCTTGCTGTTTCTTTAATACTCATTAATTACCGCTGGCCAAAATTCAGTCCGACCTCATCACCATCTCGTCAGCTCTTGGCAAGCTTTAGCGTCCTCAACCTTATCAAGCAGGATACCCCAGAGTGCTTTATCTGTTTGCATACCCCGGAACAACTGAACACTGTCGACAGCAACAGCTACCACAGTCCGACTTATTCGAAGCCGAACGATCCAACAAACGTCAAAATGTCTGAGCATTCGACCGCAAACTTCCCCCCGGTGTCGAGTAATGTCGTCAACCTGGCCATTGCAGAACTGGCCCTTTACGCCATTATGTTTCCGCCAGCAGTATGGATCACTTGGAAGCACGGCAAGAAGGGCATGGTCTGCTGGCCGATCTTCCTGTCGCATTTTGCTGCGAGATTCATCGCCGACATCTGGCAAATTGTAAAACGACACGACCCTTTGCTACCGGACCAGGTCAACATCATGACCAACGCCGCCAGCATTGCTTGCTTAACACTGACACTGATTGGCATTGTCTATGAAGCGTAAGATGATTTTTAGATTAATGGGAGAGTTTCAATTGACAAGAAAATTAGCAACATCATTCTCCCTGCCCCTCCGAAGCGCTGGACTGAGAAGATCATCTTGGGCGTTACCCATCTTATCAACACTGGCGGTATCGCCATCGCGACCTACGGAGGATCCCCGGACCCAAAGAAGGGAGTCATGAACGAGATGCTGAACAAGATCGGCAACTGTCTTGAACTCGGTGTTCTGATCGGAGTCTGCGTTTGGATGTGGCCCACCTTTAAGCGCATTCGTGCGGCCAACTCCCCGAACTGCCGGCCTGCAATGCTCATGCTTCGCGCCGCCGTTGTTGGCATGCCCTTTCACCTCGTTCACCTGACTTACACCACCACCTACGCCTTCAACCGAGTTTCCAGCCTCGACCCCGTCATGGGTTCTTTCGCCACGAAGCTCATCCTCCTCTTTGGTACCGAGCTGTGCACTACTATTGCCATGATCGCCGGTGGCTGGCTCGGTATGTCCGCCGATATGCCCAAGGCCGTCCAAATGGAGCTGTCCCCCCTCGATGCCGAAGGCGGCAGCAGCAACAACAACGAATCTGTGAGAGACGACGTTCCTTTGTCCCGGGACTGGAACAGGGAAGACGTCGCCCGGGCGAAGCTTGGCTTGGTCTGAGCCCAGGTGTTCGTTGGCTCCTGTGTTTGGTTTAATAAAATTTCTGAGCGAAAAAAGCGCATTTTTTTATACGAGACGAAAGCGGTCAGGAGGCTGACTACGAGGCCTTTCTTAGGACTGCACTTCACGAACCGAGAGGTTCCGCCTTGGACGAACCCGATCGAGGAAAGGTGCTAGAGCGTGGGAAATGTCTGTCAATGAGAGGAGGGACTAGTGTACAGGTCTGACTGTGCAGGACATGGAAACTGCACTTGGAAGAATCTGCCGTCAACGCTCATGGGGAAGGGTATTGCTTTCTTCGGAAGGTTTCTCTTGTCATACTCACTATCTGTTTATCGTATCGATTCTTGATTTCCTTGCATATAGAGTGTATCATGATTTGTCTTGGAGCGTTGATTTGTCTAAACCTCACTATTTCTGGTCCTCAATACCACAGCATAATGGGACTATACATCCATTGTCACTTGCAAAACGATTCTCGACTACATCGTGAGTTTTCCGTACTCTGTGTTCAAAATGACTCGATGGCTAGAAACTCTTTGCCCGGCAATAAAAGCCGCAATGGTATCTCACAATCTTGGATTGCTATGTAGTTGACCAAGGAGTATCAATTCATGCACCTTGTACTTTCCATTCAGGGGCAAAACTAGCGTAATGTCTCGCCGACTTTCCAGTTATCCACATTAGATACTACCGCACTACCAAAAGCAAAACTCTATATCATCCTTGGCCCGCCACTAGTGGCCCATGGCACATGTCTTGGTGACGACAAGTTTCATTCGTGCTCTCGATATCTCCAATAACTGGCAACGCTCTTTTGGCGGAAGCCCCGACCCTTCTTGATCATCAAGAAGAAAAGTGAAATCTGAGCTAGTGCAGCAAACGCTGCAACCAGAAACGCGTTCTGCCAACCCATATTCGTGACCCATGGCGTGATACTACCTGATGATTAGCGCATGCCATGTAGATGACGAATTCAGGTCGCCAAGGCGATACCGAGGTTGTTAGTTACGTACCCATACGACACCGCGAAGCTCATGGTGTTCCTGATAAGAATGACTGTAACAATCGCATCGGCGCCGAGTTCCTTGTAACTATCGATGCAGTATGTGATGGCAAGTTGACTCCCAGCGGTCACACCTCCGCTCAAGGCCCCCATTGCGAACACCAAGCCGAACCAGTGTACCTTGTGGGCCGCACCAACTCCCCACAGAAGCAGGGAGCCGGGGATAACCACCATCAGTGCGCAGAAGAGCCAGAGGCGGAACTCAGGCTCCATGACACCCTTGTTATGTCGGGCTTTCCAAAGGATGAACGCATCGCCAAGATGGCCGGAATACAACGTTCTGCAATTCGAGTCAGCGATTCTGTCTGCGAACCCAAAGTAACCTCATCTGACGTACCCAATTGCAACTCCTATCAGGCAGGAGACATACGAAAGACCCACAATGCTGGCTCGGAAGTTATAGGGTGGGCTTGACAAGATGAGAGACGCAGTGCCGTTGAGGACGTTGAAGTAACAGAGGATGGCTCCGTACATGAATCCAGAGAACACGATAACCGGAAAAGAAAAGAAGAGGAATGGGCGAATTGCCATCGTCTTGAGTGACAACTGCGGATTCATATCCTGCTTCCGGAACATCTTGATCTTGTCCATGAATGTCTTTGGAGATGGTGTCTTTGAAGTTCCATCGACATCGGGCTGGATGGGGGCGACATTGTCGGTATCGGATTGACTCTTGGCTCCCTTCTCAGCTGACGACTCCGTTCCATCACCAGCAAAGATCTCGGCATTCAACACCGTCACACGCTGATAATTGGTCTCTTCCATGAAGAAGAAGCATATGAGAAACCCGATACCACAGAAGATAGCGCACCAGTGCTAGTCATTCAGATGTTAACATCAAACAACCAAACACGGCATCAACGACGACCTACCAAGACCCATTCCCATCCTTGACCATCATTGATGAACCCGGCAATAACAGGGGCGAGGAAGTTACTGCCGAAAAGAAACAGAGCATAAAAGCCCATGTAAGTACCTCTCTCGTGTGTGAACCACTACATGTACTTGTTAGTACTGCATTCCCGATGGAGGAACTTGAAATCTCTGTTAACATACCACATCCGCGATCGATATCTCGCAAAGAGACTCTATTGGTGCTCCAAAAAAGCCTTCAAGAACTTTGTTGGCTGTCCATTGGCTACCCGTCGTTGCGTAGGGAGCCCAGACCATGATCAACTGCGATGGCGAGACATCAGCTTTCCGATTTCTCAGCTTTTTAGACGGGATGGTTTACCAAAGTTGCTAGCAAGCTTAGCAGATAGACTGGTCGCTTGCCGTATTTCTGGGCCAGTGGTTGCCAGACCAAACAGCCCCATCCTAATGTCAGGAACATGTATCCAGTACCGGCATTGAGATCGCCCAACGTTAAGTTGGTTGCGGCAGAGATGGGCACGAGGATCGAGTAGATAGCCGCCGAGGCGATGCCGATGGAAAGGCAATATCTGCCGGTTGGAACGTGATTCATAAGCGGGGGTCTCGATTTGATACCGAACCGAGCACTTACACACAAAGGCAGCTCAGAAGCAGCGTCTTCCTCCGTGGCGACCAGTTGAGAGGGTCATCGGGATCGTTCGAAGGCGTCGGAATCAACACAACGTCCCGAGCACCCCCAGCAGCATGGCGAGATGCCATTGTTCCCTCAAGATCAACGAGATGAACAGTTCCGGGAACAAAGCCCGACGGCGGCGCTGACGGCTCATCGGAGGAACCCATGACGACCAAGACCTTGCCGAAGGTAGGCCTGGCTTAGTGGCGATGTTCGAATCCCCTGGGGACAGAACGAAGTAAGGACGAATGATCGGACGAGACAATTCGGACACTCAGGCAATAAGAAGGTGTTGGAAAGGTTTCGCTGGTTTGCAACAGAGTTGTCATGCACGATGTGCAGGCACAGCCGCTTTATCAACCAGTGCAGACGAAAGAGTTGAAACTTGGCAGCGGACATCAATCAGCCTTTGTCCACGAGATAGTCAAATAGCGGGATACAAGAAGGATGCGTCTGATCATGATAAGTTGACGAACGCCATCTGACCAATGTGTTCCAATTGCGAACGATAGCGTCTCGGTGGTATGGAGATACTGGGGCTCGGCCAGTCTGATATGAATCCCAATCCTCTGGATAAGGGTCTCTGCCATGATGGTATGTGCTCAGGGGTTTGGCAGTTGGTGGATACAGAAATGCAACATTAAGCTTCGGGCACAATCTAAAATGGGGAGCTTGGGAATATGATTGACCAATCACATATAATTACGAGTCTAGCTGCAGGCTAATCAGTGATAATGGACCGCCTCTGTCCAATCACTGATAATTGCGATGAGTCGGGGGTTTCTTGCCGCAATCCATGATCACCTGGGGAGGGGAAGAATACAGCCGACGCGGGGTGTTGAGAATGCTTCTTGTTTGTCGTACATCCCATGTGATCACCATGCAATCCTTGCATCAGTATTGAAGTCTTTCGTCATCTCGGCATATTATCAGTGATTGATTGGATGACGGAAGCATGTCATTTGATAATAACGGAACAGGAACGCGGCACTGATAGTGTTCGCCAGCGGGGTCGTTCCTCAATGTTACTGGGGGAGCTCCAACCAGGAGCTCAGTTCATTTATATCTGTCGCGCAAAAGCCACTAGCATAGTTGAAGCACGAAATCCGTTCATACTCGTTTTACCCGTCGGGGCCAAACCTCCTTATCAATCACGCCAAAATGTCTCCAGCACAATGGGAGATCAAGGCGGAGGCCTGTCGGCAAATCCTGCAAAAGTCACTGAAACCTGAATGGCTGCTTCCCCCAGACCAGCTACCACCCTCCAGCCAGCTCAATGTATCTAACTTTATCGAATCTTGCGGACAGTTGACGCCGCGCGAGCTGCAGATTACGGCGAGCACCGCGGCCGAGCTGACCGCTCAGATGGCGGAAGGCAAGCTCACTGCAGTCGAGACTGTCACGGCTTTTTTGAGAAGAGGTCACATCGCGCATCAACTCGTCAACTTTGCTACCGAGTTCATGGTTGAAGATGCACTAGCCGCTGCCGAGGAGCTAGATGCGCACTTCAAGAAAACTGGGAAGCTCGTTGGGCCTTTGCACGGTGTACCTATATCCGCCAAGGAGCATTTGAGCTTGAAAGGCCGTAGAGTTCACTCCGGCTATGTTGCATGGGCCGATAATGTGGCCAATGAAGATGCTCTAGTCATTCGTCTGTCAAGAGCTGCTGGAGCGGTGTTTCATGTTCGGACGAACGAGCCTCAGAGCGTCATGGTAAGTGCCTAGGTTACATTTGGGATACTGTTGATCGAGGTCAATGCTAACCAGACACCTCAACAGCATCTTGACTGCAGCAATCCCATTTACGGGACAACGGTGAACCCCTACAACCGAAACCTAACAAGTGGTGGATCGAGCGGAGGAGAAGGTGCTTCGCTAGGTCTCCGGTGTGCAGTGATGGGCATTGGCACGGATATTGGCGGGTCTGTGAGAGTTCCCGCTGCGTTTTGTGGTTCTTACGGCATTCGTACGACTGCGATGCGCAACCCGTACAAGGGCGTCTGCATCCCTGGGCTTGGGCAAGAGAGCATTCGCTGTGTGCTGTCCCCATTGGCCAATAGTATTGCAGACCTTGATCTGTTCCAGAAAGCCATCATCGACCAGGAGCCTTGGGAGGAAGAAACACAACTTGTACCATTGCCCTGGAAACGACGCGAGCCATACAAATCCGGAGACTTCACGATAGGTGTCATCTGGGATGACGGGTCAGTGCCTCTACTCTACAATTAACTTTGAATACTGACATATGCCATTATGGAATAGGATGGCTCACCCTCACCCGCCTGTTACGCGCGCCCTGAAGCATGCGGTCGCGAAGCTCCAAGATGCCGGTATCAAGGTTCTGGACTTTGAGCCATACAACCACAAGGAGGGAGCTGAAATCATTCAGACCCTCTATTTCCCTGATGCAGCTGCAACTCAAAGAGAACTCTTGGAGAAGGGCGGTGAACCGGTTGCATTCTTGACGGAATGGGCATTCGCGTACTCAAAGCCTGAACCACTTTCTATCAGAGAGAATTGGGAACTGAATGTTCGACGAGACAATTTTAGGGACGTGTGAGTGATACATTCCATACACTTACCGATGACGGCCTAAGCGGTGTAGACTGACCTGGTCGCAGCTATCACAAAACCATGAAGGATCGCGGAGTTGACTTCATCTTGTGCCCAGCGTATGTTGGCCCTCCTGCAAGATTAGGCGAGGCGCAGTACTGGCATTACACTACGATCTGGAATATTCTGGATCAACCAAGTGTGATATTTCCGACAGGAATACACGTTGATCCAGCCATCGATGTTGTGGAGGAAAGTTACAAGCCTCGCTCTGCTGAGGACGAGCGAGAGTTCAAGAAATGTAAGTCAATCAGCTTTTTCACCTTCCCTAGGTCTTGTCTAACAGGAAATCTCAAAACCAAAGATATTCCGGAAGATTTCAAGGATGCTCCCATTGCGTTGCAGCTCGCGGGCAAACACTTCCGAGACGAAGATACAATCGCTGCGTCTGAGGTAGTCTCTAGGATTATCTTGCAGTAAGAGTAAGTGAACGACGCTGTTCGTCGCGATACATATCACGCTTTTCTCTGGGATTTGGTGCGAATAGCATGGCGGTCACCTTGATCGACGATATTGTAGTGAATGAAGCATCGTTTTCGAGATACACGAGTAATCTATCAGTTCTTCAACCCGTTGCCCTTTTGCAGTCGAATTGCCGAGAGTTGGCACGCTCGGCAGCTTCCCCGAACTTTCAGGGGTCTGGGTTGTGCGATGTAGCCTAATCCACCTGTGTGATTAGGCGCTCCACAAAGATAATGAGTGCGGGGTTTGTCGATGCTTTTGATAAGAAATGACCGCCTGCGATTTGCTTCCCTCATCCCACTGGTCTCTCTTTGATGTCCACTGAAGAAGTCAGAACCTAGCCTGTTCAAATCTCCATCGATTCGATCAGCGACAGCGACAGCGACCAGTCACTCCACCACGATGCCAAGGGCAAGATTGCGGACGAAAACCGGCTGTATCACTTGTAAATGACCCGTCCCCTCTTCTCCGAGTACTACTGAAGCCCCTGTGGGCAGGCAGCGAAAGGTGAAATGCGGAGAAGAGAGACCCTGTTGCCGAAACTGCGCTGGTTCGGGCCGCGATTGCGCATGGCCGTCCTCTGATCAGCTCCACGACAGGCGTTTTCGCGGCAGACGACTGACAGCACCCGAGAAGCATGCGTCACACGGCCCATCACCACCATCACCAACGCCGTCATCGTGTGACGAGCTTTCTCTCATATCCTTTGGAAATAGGCAGCTGCCAGAGATTGAGCATGACTTATCACATCACTATCTCAACGTGCTGGTCACTGCTTTATTGCTGCCGACAGTTACCGAAGCTGACCTGGAGGACTATGGGACCCAGGTCATGGGGATGATGATGAGTTGCGACAGCGTTAAATATGCTGTTTTGGCCAACTCCGCCTCAAATAAATTCATGCTCACCAAGAACTGCCGATATCAAAGTACCGCGTTAAGGTACTATCTGCGGGCTATCGAGTCTGTCAATCGTTCGCTCCTAGATCTAGGCTCTTCTCACGAAAGCCCGAGCGACACGCTTCTGACGACAGTGGTATACCTTTACCTCTATAATGTGAGCCAAACTTCCACCCCAGACGACAACCTCAACGCTGACTTTTGCACTCTGCAGTTCTGGGGCGCAGATACGTCCCTTGACGCCAGGAAACATGTAGATGGTGCTATGAGTCTACTGAAGTTGCGTTACGAAGACAAACGCTCACCTTTATCCATGTCCAGCACGCTCCACAGACTAGCAACAGAGAGCGTCTTGTACCAAGCCTTTCTGCTAGCTGCAAGAAAGCCGTTTGCACCAAATTTTCACATTGATCCGCAATTCATGGCTCAATCAGAGAGCTTCTTGGACAACAAGCTGATCAACACGCTATTTTCGGATTCGAGTCTTGTCCTCGGGCTTCCACTACGTCTATACCGTCTCATAACAGTCATTATTGACCTGCTTAACTCTCCCGAACACCCCAGCGCGGAGACTGTGACGAGGTTGCTACAGGAGATCAAGCCATGGGAAGAATTCGTCACCACGGATACAACAGAAACCGGCAGTCTCCCGTTCCCGACTCCGTCCGAAGGATTTCAGAGGGACGCAATTACGCTCTTCGTTTTAGCTGCGTCTCTTCTTCTTGATTACATCACAGAGTACTCTATCTCAACACCATCGACGAGAGAGGCAGGGCCTTTAGGAATTACGAGTGGCACCACCTCACCTTTTCTACAAACAACTCGATGGCAGGTTGTTCGTGCTCTATCTATCTTGCGTCGCCCAGAAGCATACGAAACCTGGACACGTTGCTATTTGGGTGCGTGGCCCATGCTGATTTTAGGCTACTCTGTCACCTCCAAGGAGGACATTAACCTAGTAAAGCTGGTACTACACCAGATGCGTGACCGCATGGGTTATGGAGAGATACAGAGAATTATAGATGATCTAAGGGATGTGTGGTCTATGAGGGAACGGGCCACGGTAGACTCCCAGTAAAGATTTATCTAGCTCATCAATATAAATGCCTTGTCGTATAAAAAGTCGCCGTAAGAAGGAAACGGATAACAAAATTCTGCCATCGAAATTGGCGCGTTTGACGACCTTGCTCGATGTTTCATTGTTCCCAAGGTTTGATTAACGTTCGAGGGTATGGACTTATAACACGTTCTTGCAGCAAGCGCTTCTATTTAGACGACATGCTCCGTTGTTCTCGTACTTCAGCCCCTTATTTGGTTTCGCATTTTTCGTTCCTACTCTATACTAAGGAAAGAATTATGATTACCCTTAAAGTAGACATGCCTACTCTACTTTAAGGGTAATCATAATGTTTTCCTTGTTTATTATCGAGTACGTCTCTCGAGGTGCACTTTCAATGGCTCAGATGCCAAGGAAGCACTATGATGGATGGTTCGAAGTGATCATTCGAGATCTCTAACCTTTATGAACACCTTGAGGATCATTTCCCATTCCGGATTTGAATTTGTAAACGGTCACGACAAAAGCAGAGAGGTCTTCCACACGGGTCCGCATGATATGCGACCTTGACGATCTAAGATGCAAGATAAAGCATATAAGCAGGCCGACCCCAAGGAGATTCAGTGCACTTTCATACACGAAAAACTGCAATCTCACTTTCAATTCCACAGAACCCCCGCTCACCAAGGGTCAAAATGTCTCAACCCAAGGCCAATCGCTGGACCTGTCTTCCTCCAGAGCTACGACTCATGGTCTTCGAGGAGTTGGAGAGAATGACCTCGGACGATCATAAGCATCCGTTGGCAAGCTAGACGCTTGTTTCGAAAGAATGGCAAGGCTTCTTTGAACCATTGCTTTGGCAGACGTTGAATATTCGGCCGTCCGATTCAAGATCTGGGCTTGAAAATTTTCACCGATTCACGAAGAATCATCTGGGAGAAATCAAGAAGATCGCGCTTTACGCTGCGCTGGAACGAAGCGGCTGTGGAGTTTGTGGTGTATTGGATATACGTCTGTTTATGATGAACTGTCATTGGTTTGCTGACGACCTATACTTTCTCCTTCATTGTCTTGTTCAGATGGAGGGCGAAACTAGTCCTGGCATCGAACTCCAACTCGGTGCTATCTGGTCAGACGACCCACAGTATCCGAGGCCTCGGCTCTCTAGACTACGTGACTGTCTTCACCCGATGTCAGCTGTGCAAAATGGGGCAATCAGACGGACGGACCGGGTCTTAATCCTAACTTTCATCCCTTTACCAGCGCCAGATATTGTCACATCACTCTCCGTTGATCAAACCATTACTGACGAACTTTGCCCGGGAGCCTTGGACTGGATCATTAGAGGTTTACCTCGCGTCACGACGGCCGACGTCGAGTGAAAGGTGTTGTAGCTGGAGCAGCTGGAGAGGCGTTGGGTCCAACAATCATTAGAAATCAGGAAACATAGATAATTCGAAAAGGCTGTGGCTGAGCTTGCGGTCTTTAAATACCTCCATGTAATAGGTCCAGGTTGAATGTGAAAGAAACGTCTGAGAACTTCCCTAAGCACCCGCCTCGAACAGTTAACCCATTACTTCACATGATGTAAAGTCTTACATGATGCTTGCTGTGCTCGAAGCGTTCATCTCCCTCGACAAATCTGCGGACACAATTCTCACAAAAGCTTTCTTCTGGCCACACAACCGCCGGCCACCCTTTGAGACCAGCAAGACCCGCGATAGCTAGGCGAGCATACCAGCTTCCTGTGGTCAATACAATAGCTGTCTCATCTCCGATGAGATTTTCCTGGCAAAGAAGTGCTTCATCCCAACTTGTTACAGAGCGAAGTGGTCTGCCGGAGTATTTTTGAAGTGCAAGCCCCTTTGAGCTACCAGAGATGTCACATGCGCACCTGGAAAGGCGTTTAAGGTTCCGATTACCTAGAGACGACAGCACATCTAGGTCAGTAACCCATCGAGGGCCGTCGTACACTTGTACCACGGCTTCTCGGATGACCACGTCTGCGTCCACAGCCCCTGCACCACCGGCAACTGGGACGATGAAATCCGTGCACCGAAGATGAAGTGAAGTTGACTGAAATCGATTGACGAGTTCGCCATTGAAATCCTCCGCCTTGATATTGGCTCCCTCTTCTATTCCCAGCCTGAGGACTAGAGGATCTGGCGGTGGAACCAGCAAGACAATCCCTGGCAAACCTAAATTGCCCAGCATCCTATGTATCCCATGCATGTCAGGGTGTGACGATCTATCAGATCGGCATGGGTCTTGTAGTAGAAATTCGGCAGCGTAGATCGAATTTCCAGATGCGACCGCCATAACGTGTTCGAACTGATCAACGTGGAGATCGTGCTCTCCAGATTCGAGGTAGGTCAGGCACGCGAACTTCGTATTTCGATGGAGCTGATTCTGATGATGATCTTCAAAGGCCTTTGGTTCCATCCGAGCCCAATGCGTAGCGCTCAGAGGTCGTTTTGAGACGTGTATAGATACGGTCGCACCTGGCCACGTGTGATAAAGCTGACTTGCTCGGAAGAGTGCCTGTAACGACGGGAACATAGATCTGCCCAACCACGCCACGCCACTTAGGCTTTTTGAATGATCCATTAGCCCTGATTGCGGAACCTGGCGGAGGTAGTTGCGCAGTAGTTCAGCGTCCAGACGACCGGAATGAAGAATGCCAGTGAGCTCAGCCAAGGACACACTCGGCATATCCACAGCAGCCTCCTTACTGAGAAATAATGCGGCGTGCGGACAGGCCTCAACCGAAGTGAATTCAACGCTACGGTTGACGACATTGCCATCGTCCATAGTCCACGAAGTGAAGTCTACATATGGATGGAGTGTCTCGAATTCGATAGGCTGTGCCATCATTGGTGGCAGACAATCGTTTTCCGCGGTCATTTCTGTAACTCGGGAATCTCGTTGTGATTTGTACCGTTTCTCGAAGGATGCAGGAGGGTCAATTCACTCGAACTTACTACCATATCCGATGGAAAGATTCCTATCTCTAATGGCGGCTATGCTTCGTGTTGAAAGCCAGGAAACCTCTTCCTGCAATCCGACAACCTCTGATTGGCAGCGTCTGACATTTCGACATGCCGGGCCAGCTGGAGAACCATCGAAATGTGACAGGCAGGAGCACAGCGATGTGCACTTAACGCCTTCTTGAACACAAATACAGCGCATGTCGCATGGGTGTTGCTTCGTACGATCATGGTTCATAGAGCCAGAGTCAAGGCTCCCGTCGTTATCCTCCTCGTTGTGGCACCGGCAACCTTTTGCGACCAGAAATCGGTAGTTATTGGTTTTGAAATCTGTTGAAATAATGGTATTTGGCCCGACTTCTGCGTCAAAAATGGGAAGATCTACACTTCGACCATCGATACCCCTTTTCTCATAGTCTTCGACTAAGTCAAGATATCTTTGCTCCTGTGCGTTTGCAGTCCTGTCAACATGGATCCATCGACAATGGCCCGCAGTAATTTTGAAATCTCCGTCTGGTGATCGCTTTCGGGATTGTAAGGACTGTTCGACGGCCGAAACAATTTCCACATTTCCCTGAATGCTCCGAATGTCATCTTTTGACGTAGCTCTTAAAATCGCAAGGGGCCGACTAACAATGATGGCGTCGCTTTCGTGAAAACCGCATTTCTTAGCCAGCGATCGGAAGTCGAGTACTTTGGATTCAACAAGCTGTTGTTTTTGGTGCGACTTTCGTGAGAGCTTGGACTGGAGATAAGGATTTAATAAACCAAACATGGCGGGAGTGTTGCGAAAGTCAAAGTCCAAGAGGTTGCGACCTCGTCGACGGCCGTACTCTATTCGATGAAGTGCATTTTCCTTCTCCCGGCCTTCCATTGAGAGAAAGTCTCCAGACGCATCGATGAGGGGCGTGATCCAATCCAAACTCAGTTCTGGTACTGTAGGATTCCTGAGCCTCTCTATGGAATCGACCATGTCAAGTTTTGCGGCTTTTCCCAATGCCGCAAAGCACTTCGCAACATCCTCAATGTTGACAGATTCGGGCTTGTCCCATGAATGTATGAAGGATCCAAGAGCGATTAGGCGAAGCTCTCTCAACGTTATACGACCATCGTCGTTGAGAGACCTTTCAACTTGGACTGGTTCGCCGTAGTGACGTAGATGAGATAACGCAAGTGACCATCTGACGCCCCCATCCAACTCCGAAGATGATTCTAGCCCAAGTGTAATGGTTCCGCCTGGTTTGACTAGGTCATCATGAAATAAGACCAGTTTGTCGGGGTTGAAAATCTGAACATCAGGATATAGATGCCATGACAGAAAGCCAAGAATGATAGCACCATTTCTGACTTCTTGGGGTGAACCATTTATGGCATTCTGAACAGCACACATTGCAATCGACCAGCTCTTCATCACATCAGTGTAAGTCGACCCAAATGTCCGGATTGATGGCACATTCTTGATGATGAGTCTCATTTGCGTATTGTCAAACCTCTTGACTTCATTAGCAGACTCTAACCAGGCTCGAGAACTGGCATCCCACGCTCTTAAATCGTCTCTTGTTATTTGGAGCCCTTGTGTTATGGCGAATTGTGCCGCAATGCCCTTCAGTTGGTTCGGGTCTGCTGTGCGTTCAAGCTCGGCTAATCTGCATTGTACGATCTGATACCAAATCGCCGTAGCCTCGGCAGGATTGGGATGCATGGTCGCAAGCATGCACGCGAGGAGATGGAGAGCGACGTGTTCTGAGCCAGAGGTTACGGCAGCCAGGATCGATGTGCCGTCGATTCCAATATGGTCAGAGAAAGGGCCGAAGTCCATGAACTATGATCCATGTTTGGTTAACAAAGTCTTCATCTGCTGATCAGACCATCTCGTGCTTGTCTCGTACCTCGATTTGTAATTTCGCGCAAGATGCAATCTCTGAGACCCTCTTGCCATACGCATCTGACAGGACCTCAATATCAGGAATGCAGTCGCTAAAAATGGCCCCCAGTCTTCGCGCTGTCTGGTGGTGCTGGCCGTTCCATGCATTT